TTTATTCGTTTTTCTGACAAATGAGTAGACAAAATATCCGTCCGAAATTCGGACAATAGCGAATGCCCAAGTGTTTAACTGGGAATGTTAGGGAATTTAATAGCGCTATCTAGTGTGGGCAAATGATGTGTTCCACAGGGCCTTCATCTGCCCACACAAAGATGGCTCACCCAGGACCTAGGTCAAGGCACGAAACTAAGATAGCATCTAGTTTTCAGTGAGTATCAAGTTACTGTACTGTTTCAGGACCACATAGACAGGATTAAAGGTTTACATAGATTGTTTAATGGTTTTACTGATAGGCAGGCACCTGTGGCATAAAGCTTGCAATGAGTCTCAAGTTACCATGCCCTTTTAAAATCACAGGGAAAGACAACTACAGGAGATAACAAAGAAGGTTCATGGACCGTGGGTACCAACACTAAGGCCTAAATAAAGCTGTGGAGGTAGCAAGATTGACCCAAGCACAAAAGGAGGCACCCTCAACCCAGAAATTGGTCTTCCTAATGACCTTCCATCGATCTACTCCACAGATTTCTTCAGCAATTAGAAAAAAAGTGGAAAATACTGACGAGAGATGACACCCTCTGTAACGGACCGTTTTGCACACAAGGGGAAAAAACGTTTAGGCGATCGGCCCCCTTTCCAGAGATACAGGCACAGCTACTGCAGAACACCAAACTCCCGGACTGGATACAAAATAGCACTCCAACTCCCGAACTGGAACCTCCCAAATAGCTGCTAGCAGACGAACAGGAAAAGCAGACAATCAGCTTACACTCCTGGCAATCAGTCTCTAACAGCATACAGTGAATCCCCCCAAGAACGAGACAAGGCTCCGTGTTGAGGGTCAAGCAGTGGTCTGATGTTTAATGGCACACACTCTGCTTTTATGAGATTCTGCCCATGCAAGGGAGACACCCACATAATTAGCAGTATAACCAATCGGAACAATATACATTCGGGGAAATTCCCATCCCTCAGATAATCACATAACATATTTAAAACAGAACAGTTTTTCCCCATACCCTGTAACTTTAAAACCATACATCCAATCTTCATACAAATTACATATTTGGAATCAATCCATTCAGGGGAGCAACATCATAAAAAATGGCACAAATCAGACAAGGGGTTCAAAAGTTAGTAAAAATTCCTTTGTGACTAAATGAAGCATGGCTTTCTGGCCCAAACCAGTTTCAGAGTCTTCTATCCTGGAGAGTAATTCAATTATCTCCCAGGACAGACACAAGACTCCATTAAGCACATGGTTGCAAAAAGACACAAAACACTTTAAAATACATAAAGTCACATTTATTACATAAAACACAGACATGTAACATATCCCCAGATAGCTCAGGTCCGAGCGCACATTATTAAGCGAATGGCGCTCAGACCACATGAATACAGTTTAATCGCCATGGAGCCAAAGTCTTTACAGTCAGTTTCATACGAATGGGCTCCATGGGATTCCTATCTGGGGTATAACACATTCAAACAAATCTACCGAACCCCAGGCAGAAAAGCACGAATGAAGCTTTTCTGCGGGTAAAAAAGATGTCTTTTAACAGGGGGCCATAGTCCAAAGGCAGCAGGCGAGCAACCAGGCTTCTCCAATGCAATGTGGCGAGATTGGTCTCGTCACACCCTCCCTAAGGTATTCAAAGAAGCACCCTTGATCTGCTACAGGAGAAATACGAATTTAAAGGATATGCTTGTCCACATGGACCCTGTCACTAGTTATCAACAGAAGAGCAAAGTCCAAAATCGGGGTTGTGTGAGATGTCTAGGATGTGTCACATGCAGACACATGACACCATCAAAAACCTTCTCACATCCATACACCAATTAGAAATATTCAATAAAATACACCATCACGTGTAAAACTACACATGTAGTATGCAAATTGACGTGTCCGTGCGGCCAAGTATATATCGGAAAAACAGAGACTCCCCTATGTGAGAGAATAAGGGGACATTGCTCCAGTATAAGGCTGGCATATAGGGACGTCTGATAAGTCAGTGGCCAAACATCCTTTGGCATTGCTGAAATTCGTGGGCATAGACCATTTCCCTGTCCAAGAAGAGCAGGTGACTGTGGGAAATTGTTGCTCAACAAAGAAGCCTTTTGGATTTATGAACTCGATACAGTGTCTCCAAAAGGACTTAATGAGACCATTCTTCTTGACCTTTCTGCGCGTTTGACACTGTTGATCATCAACAGCTTCTTCTCATCCTCTGTAATATCGGTTCACAAAATATTGCTCTCTCCTGGTTCTCCTCCTACCTCTCCCAGGGCTCTTTCAGTGTTTCTTTCTCTGGCTTTGCTTCTTCTCCCCAATTCCTCTCTGTTGCAGTCCCCCAAGGTTCAGTCCTTGGTCCCCTACTGTTCTCTATCTATACTGCCTTCCTTTGGTAAACTCATTAGCTCCTTTGGCTTCCAATATCAATTAAACGCAGATGGCACACAAATCTACCTGTCATGTCCTGATCTCCCCCTGTCCCTCTTGACTAGTGTCTCTGACTGCGTCTATGCTATTTCTAACTAGATGGCTGCCCACTTCCTTAAACTTAACTTGACCAAAACTGAAATTCTGGTCTTTCCTCCCTCAAGTGTTGCTACTCCTGTGTCTGTCTCCTTCCAAGTCAACGGTGCTACCATCAGCTCCACCATGCAGGCTCGCTGCCTAGGTGTTCTCTTTGACTCTGACCTCTCTTTCAAGCCTCATGTTCAGTCTATCGCCAAATCCTGTCACTTCCATCTCAAAAACATTGCGCGCATCTGACCCTACTTAATGCTAGATGCGACTAAGGTGCTGGTCCATTCCACTGTCAGTGGTCTTACCTGCTCCCAACTTGTGCCGTTACAGTCCATAATGAATGCGGCGGCGAGGCTCATCTTCCTGTCTTCCCGCACCTCCTATGCCTCACCCTTCTGTCAGTCCCTACATTGGCTTCCTGTAAGATATATGGCTCAATTTAAAATTCTTGTTCTTGCTTTCAAATCTCTACATAATGCTGCTTCCACCTATCTATCCTCCCTAATACACAAGTATGTCCCGTCTAGGCCTTTACGCTCTGCTGAAGACTTCAGCAGAGCGCAAGGGCCTAGACGAGACATACTTGTGTATTTCTGTCCATACTTCTCGAGGGCTGCACCGTTCCTGTGGAACTCACTTCCCTTCTCCGTTAGATGCTCACCGAGTCTCCACTGCTTCAAAAAAAATCATTAAAAACCCACTTCTTCATAAAAGCGTATCAATTAAACTGTTAATAGCTCCCGACTGATTCCTCTCTTGCAACTGTCATTAATCTAATACTATCGTTACCTTTTGTGTCACTTTACCCCACATCCTCTAGCATGTAAGCTCATTGAGCAGGGCCCTTAACCCCTCTGTTCCTGTGTGTCCAACTTGTCTGGTTACAACTACATGTTTGTTCGTCCACCCACTGTAAAACGCTGCGGAATTTGTTGGCGCTATATAAATAATTCAGCAAATGAATAATAATTTTTGTAGATTTGCTCCAGCTTGAGATTTTGTATATACTTGATAATATGGTCTTTTTATAAATGTGAATTTTAACAATGGGTAGGCAACCACATTTATTCACTTTAATATTCACTGGGAAGCTAAATATACTATAGATAGTAGATATATGCATGTTATTATTTTTTCTAACGTGGAGGGATCTTTTGGAGAGCAGCTTGTAAATAGTTTCAGTCACTATACCATTATGCACTTTATATTGATTATAGCACTTTATACATGGAGAACTTTGTAAAAAAAAAAAAAAAAAACAGCACTTTCTCTATAGTAGCACTTTAAAAACACTTTTTTTCATAATAGCACTTTGAAAATACCATTGCACTTTAAAATATAGGAGCACTTTATATAACAAGTGCTTTATTCTGTTATATACCTGTACAGTCACTTTACACTACAAAGTTCATTTCTATATTGGCATTTTAGCTTTAATTTGTGCATGATTTAAGTAGTTTGACAATGCAGCTTGGTGTAACTTGTATCTAACTGAAATTTATATATCGTGGTACTAGTTGTACACATAGTTTTTTATTTTTAGTAACTTCTATAGAGCTCTAAGTAGGTTTCCCTGTTCACAGTATATCCATTTAATCTATTTCTACCACCTTTTCTGTTATCCTAAATAATAATTCAGTAAAAATGAAAATCCAGCGCACTCCCTTATCTACTAAACAGCTACTTTGATGCTGACCAATTTTGCTAGGTTTATTAAAAACACCTAATCTAGGCAAAAAGTAATGGGGGTTTACTTACATGACCACAGCAACGCTCCGGATCTCGCGAGAGTGAACTTTAGCCCTGGTGGTCACAGTGGTGAGAGTGAACTCTAACCCCATACACACACTGCCCCCTACACACACACCATACACATTCACACACTGCCCCCTACACACATACACTGCCCCCCATACGCACACTGCCCCCACACACACCATACACATTCACACACTGCCCCCTATACACACATTGCCCCACACACACACACTGCCCACCAATACACACACACACATACAGCCCCCATACACACATTGCCCCCCACACACACACACAGCCCCCCATACACACATTGCCACACACACATACACAGCCTCCCCATACACACATTGCCCCACACACCCTACACATTCACACACTACTATTCAGCCAAGTAAGCCATAACACCTGCAAAGGGTTGGAGTAACAATTTTTAATTTTTAGTTATCTTTTCTAACTCTGTATCTGCACACTATGCTGGCGCGACACAATCTTTTTACCCAGTCCGGCCCTGGGTACAGGACATGAGGATCTGGCTAGTTATTCTGCTTCTATAGTTTATTATACTTTATTATTATCCACAGACATTTGACTCTGCCACCACCTGACTCCTCTGTGTACAGAGCTCTCAAATCAGCCCCTTTACTTACTTCCATTTATTCGGTTATCTTTAGATTTCTGGGTCTTCACTGTTATGAGGTGTCATCTTTCGTGACTGGACTCCTACTCCTGCTCGAAGTCCTTAGAGACCCTGACACCAGCGGTTTAATTCAATTGCTATGGCTCTTTCTTTATGCTGTTCATCAACATGCTCTGAAGCACACTCTTGTCATGTATAAAGCAGACAGGAATACAGGTATTTACATCAAACATAGCGCTGTCTTATTTTACTTTTGTTCCTAGAGATAAACACAGTGCCACTTTGATGATACCCATAGAGGTTATGATCATATACCTTCTTCTACCACTGAGAAATGACTGGAATGTTTGTTATGTCTTTATTGCATGAAGACACTTTTGCAATAGAAAGTTAGGTGTCTTAAAGCAGTTTGCCTGTGCTATATTTTCAGTGAAAAATTCACAGTGTATTGTTCA